TGAGTAAACCCATTCATTTTACCTATATCTTCTATCTCCAGATGGCTAGAATAAGTTTCAAATGGAGGTCCTAGATTCTTGTTTTGAAGATCAAAATTGAGTAGGTCTGGGATTCTGTGTTTTTAAGTGAGTAACCAAAGCAATTTCACTCCTGTATACTATCTACTGCAAAGAAGGAATTTATATAACCCATCAGGTTGGGAGGGAATCACTGAGAACATCTAGTACAATTTCTTCATTTTACAGTGAAGAACCCAGGGCAGGATATTTAGAAAGAAAAAATGATAGAGATCTGCAGAGACATGGAAGTAGGGTTCTAAGGTGGGAATCATCGTCTGTAGGTTTAATCTCTCTTATATTCACTTAGAGTAGTTTACCCCTCATCTCTGGAAGCTAGGCTCTTATTCTAAGGCAGCATGAAGAATTCTTGTCTGACATCTGCTTCAAACTGCTGGCCGATGCATTTCTGGGCAAAGGTCCACTAAACTGAGACAGAATAATGTTTTGCAACATGTGAACTACCTAATGCTAGTGTGAGGTTCAAAGGGGAGTCCCTCTTGTGGGTCTCTGAGTGCCTTGAAGGGCTTTATAATTTTTGTTTTGTTTTGTTTTACATTTTTTGAGTCTTTTGTCCTGGTTCTAGAGAAACTAAGATTTGCTCAAATGGTTGTACAGAAAGAAAGGCAGGAAGGGGGAAGGTGAGACATCAGGAACATGGCGGAGGATTGGGAACAGAAGAGACGACTGGAAAATGTCTTCCAAACATTCTTGGAGGGCCGTGGGATGTTTTCTAAACCATGCTCCTACGATCACAGCCACTATGACCAAATGCAATTAACATCTCCCATCTTCACGAGCACGTGGATGAACACAGGCACAAAGAAGCATGGAAACCCCACAGACGATCGCGCAGACACATGCTCTTGGTGCCTCTTTGACCCAAGGTCTTTGTCTCTGGCTATGGAGACGACATGGGGGCTGGATCCTGCACAGCTTCGGTCAGTGGGAGAGAAAAAGGCCATCGGGGAACTCCTAGCTCAACCAAAGACCCCTCCATTGTACCATCATCCAACTCCTTTCCATATTCTAGTAATGGGTGGAGTCTGTCTCCAAAGGACAGTGCAGGCCACACCGCTTGTCCCTGTAGGGTGACCTGCCCCCTGAACTTGAGGGTGGTTGGGGCTTCTCAGTGGTAAATGCCCTTTTCTCCAGTCAGATCTGTGTTTCCTTTGCATCTTGAGAGGATCTCTGCCCCCACCTACTCCCAAACAGGAAGATGCTTGTCTACCAGTGCATTTAAGAGACTGGGGTGCATTTTAAAATGATGGAAACCTAGGATGTCCCATAGGGGAGAGGTTGTCCCCGACAAGCCCCTCTGGGAATGTGCCACAAAGCAAATCCAGTCTGAGAGCTTCCTGCATTTTAAGAAAGGAGGCTAATGTGGAATGAATAAAAGTTACCTGATCAGTAATTGAGGGAACCCCAAGACTGTTGGAAAAATAACTGGGTTAATACAGGAAAGATCTCTGGGAGAAGGACAGGGACGAAGAGCAAAGGCAGCAAGGGTGGTGGAAAGAAGTGGAGAAGGGGAGTCAAGTCTGGCTACGAGGCTTTAGAAAGTCACTCAGATCCCATGCGCTTACATCTTCAGCTCCAGAATGACAAGATAATAATGCCTGCCTGATGGGTGGGAATTGGTGTATAGTCAGACAGACAGACTGAGTGGCCTGTGTAGATAGGTGGACAGGCCGGCATCCTGTTAGGGTTTGGATATGAGGTGTCCCCCCAAAACTCCGGTGTTGGAGCAGGAATATTCAGAGGTGACAGGACTGGATTAGGAGAGCCATATCCTAGTTCGTCCGTCCTGGTTTGAATGGACTCACTGGGGGATAACTGCAGCCGTGGGGAGGGTGTGGCTGGAGGAGGAGGGGCACTCTTAGCATGAAGGGTTCCTCTTCTCTGACCCCCTTCCTCTTCTGTCTCTGCCTCCCAGCCACCATGAGTAGAGGATTGCGCCTCCGCCACGCCCTTCCACCAGCGCATCCACCAGGCCCAGAGTCATGGAGTTGGCCGACTATGGCTGAACCTCTAAAACTGTGAGCCAAAGTAAACTTTTTCCTCCTCTAGGTTGTGCTTGTCAGGCTTCTTGGTCGTAGTAATGAAAACCTCCCTCATACACACTTGTTTCTGACACCCATATATTCACGCTCTCTATGTAGAATGTGTGGGTGGATGTATTCACATTTTACCTACAGAAGAAATTCCACTAAACCCGTGATGAACAAAGGCTACTGGGTGTCATCAACACCTGAGGACTGCTTAGAACACTGCTTGCCCAGGGTCTCTGCTTTGGTAGGCTCAGCGAGGTGCACTTACATTCCCAACAAGGGCCTAGGCGATACTTATCTGCTGATCCTGGTACACTCTTTAAGAACCACTGTTCGAGGTGGTATGCTGAGGGGAAAAAAAAATTATGTCTGACCCCTTTAGAGGCCCTTCCTAACAGGTAAGTGATGAGTGTTTGTCAGTAAGTGCATAAGTGAGTGGATTTCACACAAGTGCCATTTTCTTTATATTGCACAGGGTTTTGCTAGGTGATCTCTAAGGTCTTCACCACCACCTCTGCAGGGTGAGATCCCCCGGGCGAGAGACAGGTATCCTCAGAGCTAGGCCCTGGGCCTGCGGGGAACTATTTTGGTTCTATAAGTGCTAACTTCTGGGGCGTGGCCTGCGAGGAAGGGGCACTGGATCAGCCCTTCCAGGACCCAGGCCCTGCCTCTTAGAGGCACCCTTTCACCCTCTACTGACTGCTGTGTCCTCAGGGAAGGGCCTGTCCTGCAGGATCTCATCTCCCAGGGCCATATGCATACAGCACTCCTCCCACCTGCCAGGAACAGGAAAGAGGCACCATCTCTGTCTCTCCTGTCCCTCCAGCCCCGCCCCCAGCACACTGAGGTGCCTCACGGAATTTCAGAGTAACTTGGAAATGCAGAGCCTCGCTCATACTCTTTTCTATAACCTCGGGGTGGGGGGGAAAGAGCAAATAACTTAGCTCTGAAAGAAGAGGCATGTGTCCCCAGAAAGCTTCCAGGGGCTTCCGTCTCTGTTGCCTCTGGTTCCCAAAATACAGCCCTAGGGCTGAGCAACCTGCCAAACTCGGGCCAAAGGCCTTCACTTCTAGCTTTGGCAGCAAGAGCCACCCTTCCCTGTTCCCCCATAACAACAGGAACAGAGATGTGGAACAGAGATAGAAAACCCACAAGGCAACTCATTGTTAGAAAAGCTAACAATGATATCTGCCCCAAGATAGGCACAGAAATTTGGGGATACTCAAATTTGGGTACAGTGAATCTAAGAAGAAAAGCAGTAAATTAAAATGGAAGTTCATATTACCTTATAATCATTTGATATGGCTGCTAGAAAATCCAGAAAAATCACAAAAATTGGCCATGATGTGGGGAAACTAGGACTTGTGCACTGTTCCTAAGAGTGCAAAATGATGCAGCCACACTGGAAAACTGTATGGTGGTTCCTCAAAAATGTAAAAATAGATGGGCTGGGGATATAACTCAGTGGCAGCTTGCTTGTCTCACATGCACAAGGCCACGGGTTCAATCCCCAGCACCACAAAAAAAAAAAAAAATTAAAAATAGATTTATCATATGATCCAGGAATTCTACTTCTGTATATCCACATACAAGAACTGAAAACTATAAACTCAAAGAGGTATTTTACACCCGCGTTTGTTGCAGCACTGTTAATTATAGCTTTAAAAGATGGAAGCAGTCCAAGTGTTTATCCATCCACCAATGAACAAATAAACAAAATGTGGAATATACCACACTGGAGTATTATACACCCTTAAAAATATGACACACCCTATAATATAGAAGAATGCGGAGGACATTATGCTAAATGAAATAAGCCAGTCTAAAGGACAAAACACTAATGATTCCACTTAAATACGGTACCTAGAATAGACGAATTCATTAAGACAGAAAGTAGAATGGTGTTTGGTAGGCACAGAGGGAAGTGGGGAATGAAAAGTTGTTATTAAATTTAATGAGTACTGAGTTTTAGTTCTACAAGCTAAAAAGAGGTTTGTGGAAGAGCAGTGGTGGATGGGAGCACCAGGAGGGGACAGGATTTAATTCCACTGACCTGCACACCTAGAAATGGTGCAGATGATAAATGTTATGTCATATATATTTCATCGCAACTAAAAAATAGAAACTCATGGCAGCAAACACGAAAGGAATGAAAAGCAGGCATTACTCGGGACGCAGGAGGAGAGTAGGTCAAGATCTTTATTGCTAGGTGGCCTCCTCTGTTGTCCATCAGGATAGAACATGGCTTAAGCTGCTGACCCACAAGTCCTTGTGAGCAGCTGCCTGCCCCAAGGGAGGCACAGAAATTTGGGGATATTCTGACTCCTCGGATGGGAGTTCACAATCTAGCTGAGCCTATGAAACAGACACACCTGACTAGGGAATAACAATTCAAGAGCTATTGCGAAGCAGTTGTCAAGTGGGTGGTGGGGCCAGTGCAGTGGGTCCTAGGAAATTAGCACAGGTTCCTATTGGTGGGAAGAGGCAAGAATCTCCAAGGCACAGGCACTGAAAGATGGGTAGGTTTTGGATGCTGGGTCATGGGGGAGAAATGATCCCAGCAGAGGGAGAGAGTGATCACAGGCTTGGAGGCATGGACACCTAGAGAATGTCCTAAGGAGCATCCACCACGTGCCCTGGTGGCCTGGCTGGTCTGGCTAGGGCTGAAGATGTGTAGGGACTGGGTCGACTTGCTGCTGGAGAGACGTCTAAGACTGAGGTGTGGAACCTGAGATCATAGGAAAAGGAGCAGGGATGTGGCCTTTGAAGCAGGGAGCCTTTAGGTGTCTTTGGAGAGATGCGAACAAGAACACGCTGGAAACTGTTGCTGGTGGAAGAGGGAGAGGAAGGGCAAGGTTTCCCAGGCAGGAGACAGCGGGCATCTCAGCCCCTTTAAAAATAGGCACCCTTTGCTCCTGAAAAAGGCCCACCTTTGACACCAGCAAAGCCACTTCCCTGGTCTCCGCAGCCACCTGAGCCCTGTGGCTCTGGAAACACATCACCAGGTCCACAGCCAGCACCACTCTCTTGCCCCTGGTTGCAACTATATGGGCCGTAGCTGGGGCCTTCCGTGTCTAAACGGCACGGATTGGACTCACAACAGCCTAGGTCTTGTGGGTACGGGATCGGATTTGGGCTGGAGCAGGGGCTGGGACATCGAATAGGCTCCCCACACGGCTCAGGGCTTGAGCAGGGTGCTGGAAGGGGAATTGGCTCACAGGGCTGTGGGCATGGGCGCGGCCCTGGATTCTCACACTGCACTGGGCGAGGCCTGGGAGCTGGGCGTGGAGCTGGACACGGAGCTGGACGTGGTTCTGGACTCAAGCAGGGTTCTGAAAATCGCCGTGCTGGGGGACATGGGCGAGGTTCTGGAATTATGCATGGTTCTGGGCGAGGCCGGGGACGTGGAGCAGGAAGTGGGCATCGTTGTTGCCTAGACGGCTCTGGATATCGGTCAATGCGCTGCGGCGGGCAGGACCTTGGGAATGGACGTGGCTCTACACGTGGCCTCAGATCTGGGCAGGAAGCACCCCCAGAGGGCTGTGGGGCACAGCTCTGAGAGCAGCCTCTGATGGGAGGGATCTGGACAGGACACCTCTGTGGTGGGACTTGCCTGGGGCAGCACGGGGAGGAGATCTCCACTCGGCACTTGGGCCCACATCTCTGCGAGCAGCTTGAAGGGCGGCCGCGGGGACAGTGGCTGTGGTAGATGGGTTCCGAGCGGCGGGGTGGGGTGCAGTAGTTGTAGGAACCTGAAGGGCATCGTGATGGCAGGCAGCTGCTGTAACGTCGTGGCGGGGAACAGCTGCGGTAGGAAGGCTGCAGCCTGCGCGGAGGGAGGCACTGGCCGGTGCTCTGCGACCGACGCTGCCCACTGAAGCTCCCATAGGAACCCTGGGTCTGGCATTGGGGAGCGCAGCTGCCGTAGGAACCCTGGGACTGACGCTGGGGGGCGCAGCTGCTGTAGGAAGCCTGGCACTGTCGCTGGGGGGCGCAGCTGCTGTAGGAAGCCTGGCACTGTCGCTGGGGGGCGCAGCTGCCGTAGGAGGCCCGCGACTGGTACTGGGAGGCACAGCCGTTGTAGGAAGCCTGGGACTGACGCTGACGCTGGGAGGCGCAGTTGCCATAGGAACCTTGATACTGGCCCTGGGTGGAGAAGCCTCCCTGAGCCTGGCCCACTGGTGTACATTCCACGTAGGTGTGCACAGGCTGGGGAGCTGGAGCCGGCACGTAGGACTGGACTGGGTATTCCACATAGCGAGTTTCCGTGTAACAAACTGGAGCACATTGTACGTAGCAGGTCTGAGCAGGGCATGGGACTTCATATTGCACGTAGGAAACCTCAGGCTGGCATGGAGCCTGGCACTTCACCTGCGTGGTCTTGGACTGGCATGGATCCTGGCACTTCACTTGCGTGGTTTTAGATTTACTTGGAGCCTGGCTCTTTACCTGGGTGGTCTTAGACTGGCCTGAAGCTTGGCCCTTCATCTGGGTGGTCTTGCACTGGCATGGAGTCTGGGAAATTTGAACTGGGCATAGTGTAGGACACTCCAAAATTTGCATCTCATAAGGGGCTTGGACCAGCACCTCGCTATTGGCATATGGGCCGAAGGAGGGGCCGAAGGAGGCGGGGAAGGAGGAGCCCTTGACACAGCACTGGGGCAGGCAACACTGAATCTGCTGCTGGTCACACATGGTCGTAATGCAGGTGGGTGAGTGGGACCTAAGGGCAGAGAGAGAAACGTCAGGAGGGTGAGAATTGGAAGGAGAGACCAGGACCTAAGAAAACATACTCTTCCCTCTCCCTTCAACCTGCACCCAAGAATCCTTACTGACTTAGTTGGACCCAGAATTGGTCACTATTGATCATGAGACCTGCCCTGGGTATGCCTAAAGGCCTGATTGTAGATAGCCAGGTTAGAGAGGTGCAGCATCTCCCCCGGGAGGATGGGTATACCAGTGTCCGACACCAGAGGGCGCGGATGACTGGCGGATTCTCCACACTTCCTAAAGGGCTGTGCTGGGAGCAGGCTTAGGAGGAAAGGAAATAAATCTTTTGCTCCCAGAGCTTCAATTTACTCACACGTGCATATCGGCAGCACACATGTATGTGCACACACTTTAAAATGAACTATGGAACATAGTCCCGTCTACACTCACATGAATGTCAAAGCATCCATTGGAGAGTAATGGCTCCAGTTACCCGTCAACTCGAACTCGGCATTGAATATTTATTTCTCTGTATTTGATCTTTTTAGATGAATTCAGATAAATAGAGCCTTGTAAAAATATGCAAAATCATTCACATTCAAAATGCTCCAGCCTTGGAAGGGCCTGGGATCAACCTGGTGACTTGCCCAGACAGGTTGCTGCTGTTAATCACCCAGCATTGACAACCTGCTGGCTTCAGGAATGTTTTGTTTATTTTTCTTTCATTTTTTTTTCCTCCTCAGCCCCACTGATGAATTACTAAGACGGAGTAACTCAAGAAGTACAAGATTCTTAATCACAAGACAGTTGTTCAGTCACATGTCAAGACCTACAGCCAGAGCCTTACAAACATCACCCAAGGCACGCAGGCGTCCACTCCAATACCACACTTAGCTTGGGAGAAAACACGGGTGGCTGACACTTCTCTGTGGACAGGCACCCCACTGAGCACTACAGAAGAGGGGTGATTGGATAAAACCATCTCAGACCACAAAACACCTCTCAATAAACTCCCAGGATGCTGCAGAAGCTCCCAGTGAAGAACAAAGCCAGACATTTTCCATTTATAGAGACTACGTACATCTCCCCTCGGGGAAGGTGATCCTCCCTCACCCGACTCTGTTCACGAGATACAAATAACTAATTTATTAATTAGTTGTTAGTTTTCCAGAAAGAGCAGGTACTGATGAGGAAAACAGTTACCTGAGGATGAAGCCAACATTATTAAAGACAAATACACTGGCTTCATAGCCCTGTCTCTTCTCATGAACTCTAAAAATATTCTTATGTCTCCTAAAATGCGCCAGGCTGCTCCTCGGGCCAATTTCCCCCTCTTCCTCTGCTCCCAGCTTCTCCTTCACTGTGCCTGACTCCTGTGAATGTGTCCACCCATTGAACACCACCCCCCAACCCCAGGACCCAGCTCCTGCACTCACCCTCCTCAGCAGACACGCGATCATTCAGGCTAAGGCATCTGGGCAGAGGACCATCTTTATATAAAGGGCCCTGGGTCTGGCTCAGGATGAGACAGCCTGTTGGCATCTTCCTGGCTCATGGCCCAGCTTGGCATTCCAGCCACTGGGGCCCTCCCCTGTATGCCTGTCCTCACAGTCACCTAGAGTCGGGAGTGTCTTGCTTCAATGTCAAATCTTCCAGACTACGAAAGAGCAGATCGTTGTTTTCTTCCTCTCTCTTCACCCTATCAGTTTCTTCTCCATCCCTAAGAAGGGTTGGTAGGGGGCCTGATGAGGAGTGGCAAAGGACTAGATGGTGCTATCCCCTCCCTTCCTCCTTGCCTCAGATTCTCTCATGATGGAAGATTTCCTAAATTAAAGCAACCAAAATTACCTCAAGGCGAGAGACACTATGCAGAACAGAGAGGGCACAGGGTCAGAGCTGATTCTAAACCCAGGTTGGCTTACTTACAGCTGTGGGACCATTATTACTAAACCCAGTATTAATTTACTCCTTTGCAAAATGGGTATAATTAAATATCCCTTTCTGATTATCATAAAGATTAAGGCGATTATTATATCCAAACCCAGCCAAGAATGATTTTCAAAATAGCCAACATCCACTCAGAGTAAATGCATTTCATAAGCAGCAGACACAGCTGGATCAATGGGCAGCTGCGACAGCCCCATCTTGAGTTGAGAAAACCGATGGCCACATAGCAGGTGATCAGCTAATGCTGCAGGGGGGTACTTGACGGCTGCAGGAGGCTGCTGGAGCTGTGAAGTAGTTCTTGAAGACAGCACAGTGCAGAACAAAAGTATTAAACTGGCATCCTGTGGGTCAGAAACGGGCAAGATGGATATCGTTCCATGCTTTTCCTGCATAAGATTACAATTAGTTATTTCATATTTATAAATAGAGAGATTTCACCTGGGATTCCAGACATCCAGATTTTCTTCTGAAATGAAAAGATCTGGCATAGGTCAACCTGCCTTCCACCCACCTGATTCCCAGCAGCCCTCCTTGGATAGGACACACACTTTTCTACAAAGCTCCCTCATCCTTTACTCTATCTACAATGCTTTTCAAAGTGTGGATTTCCTTGTTTTAATTTACTTGTGCTCTTAATTTTTTTTTTGCTGAAATTGGAAAAGAAAGTAAAAAAAAAAAAATCCTTCTGCATGGAACATTTCACTTGTTCTAATCACCCTCCAGCCTTTGTGTGCATTTAGATCCTGATCGAGCTCATGAGCAGAGATTTTAGATTTAGGCAGCTTTTGAGCCCTAGTACTTACTAATGAAAGCTACTCAGCTATCATGAGCCTCGGATCCCTTATCTATAAAATAGAAAAGAGATGGAGGGGGTGGAGTGGTGGATACTTAACTACGATTTAGCTCTGTGGGCTCCAGGGTCTTCATATGAAGACAGAAGTGACGATACATTTTTCACCAGGTTCTCAGGAAGACACAATCAGATCATCAGTATGAAAGTGATTTGTAACCTACAGTGCACATGCCAATCATGTTGACGAAGTCTCTCCCAAGGGGATGTCCTCCCAGTTCAACGTGACTTCAGAGTCTTACCTTTGGGTCCCGTCACTCATTCCAAAGGAGTCCCCAGATAACATTGTAGACCTGAATAGGTTTATAGACTTTCAGAATGTTACAGCAACAAGACCCCCAGAAATGACCTGGTTCTACCCTGCCCTTCTATATAAGAGGACTTTAAAACCCAGGAAGAAAACCCTAATTGGGGAGGTAAAGCTAATGGCTCTGTGTCTTCTCTTCTGTTCCATTGGTCATCTTGGCCGTCTTGGTGCCCATACCATGCTGTTTTGGTTACTATAGCTCCATAGTATAACTTAAATCTGGTATTGTGGTGCCTCCTTCTTTGCTTCTCTCTAAGATTTGCTTTGGCTATTCTGGGCTTCTTATTTTTTCAAATGAGTTTTATGACTGCTTTTTCTATTTTCATGAAGAATGTCATTGGAATTTTGATAGGGATTGCATTGAATCTGTATAGTGCTTTTGGTAGTATGGCCATCTTGAAAATATTAATTCTGCCTATCCAAGAACATGGGAGGTCTTTCCATCTTCTAAGATCTTCCTCAATTTCTTTCTTTAGTGTTTTGTGGTTTTTATTGTAGAGGTCTTTCCTTTTTTTCTCTCTCTCTCCCTCTCTCTCTCTCTTTTTAAATATCATTTTTAGTTGTAGGTGAACACACAAGTCCTTTATTTTATTTTTATGTGGTGCTGAGGATCGAACCCAGTGCCTCACACGTTCTAAGCACTGCTCAACCACTGAGCCACAGCCCCAGTCCCCTCTTTTCTCTCTTTTATTAGATTGATTCCCAAGGTTGTTGGGGATTTTTTTGGTTGTTGTGTTTGCTTTTGTTTTTTCTTTGAGGCAAGGACTCTTTCCACTTCAAATTACTTCTCTGGCCACACATTTTGGTCAAGGAGTTCTGAACATGGATAGCATCCGGCTTTGGCATCCACTGAGAAGGTATTCTGGAAAGCAGTAAAAAAAGAAAACTGAGAACATAAACCAGCTGTTCCCACCAAAATGTGAATTCTTGAGTCCTAATAGCTTTGTGTCTCTCCCACGCATCTTTTGATGAAATGTGTAGTTTTTAAGGGGAAAATACCTTTGCATCTCTGTATCCTGACATAACGTATCTGTTGGTGGATGATTGACAGATGATTGGAAAGCTGGGCATGAAGCTGGGCTTGGTGCACATATCTTAAATCACTGGAGGGTGAGTGGGTAGGCCAGAGCAGCACGGCAACCCTCGGTGCTTCTTAAAAGAGAAGAGGTGGCGTGGGTAAGGGTGTAAAGGGCCTGAAAGGTAAGTCTTACAGACGAAAACAGGCCCCAGTGGTAGAGTCTTCAATGATATGATTTCAGAAATGAGTCATTAGACTAAAAGCAAAAATATTTAACTTCCAATCCTCTTCCTTCTCTGAGCTGTAATACTCTAGAGCCAAAATGTTCTCACTGGTTGAAGAACTAGAATGAGTACTGAGGTAGTTTAAAGGCCGAGATAAAGGTGGCATAGTCTTTATTCTTCAATAGTCTAGAATCCTACTTCCAAGTGCATTCCTTATCTGGCAGTGCCTTCACACTAAATCGTCCTTTAGATTGCCCTGGGGTGGTCTTCTAGTCTCTGTGAGCCTACGTGTGTTTTTAGATTTTGGGGGTTTTGACTCAACCAACTCAAAGATAAGTCATTCTCTCCCCTTAGAAAGTTCCTCCTCCTGAGGGTCTGTTCTTGCACAGGGGCTATTTAGAATAGTGACCAAGTCACTCTCGGTCCTCCTTCCAGCTTAACCCAACATACAGTCCCCACATACTCTTCATTCTACTCCATATTTCTCTCAAATAGTCTTCCTAATGTCCATACCCACTGCCCCTGCTGGACCTCGGTATTTATGCACCTACGTGGTACAACAAATCCACTGTTTTCTCTGCTTTTAGTCTTTCTTCCATTTAACTTCCAAGTAGCCACTAGAATGATCATCCTTAAAAA